ACAATTGGTGGCTGACTAAATACTTTTTCCCCCCACTGTATATTTGGAGAGCAAAGCTATTTAATATTTTTAATTATGACTTATGTCTGGGATCCCTGGTTCAGCTCTATTGGAGGTCTGTTAAGGTTGAAAACCCCTGGTATACTGGATAGATGCAACTGCCATGTATGTGTCTGTCTCCTCTAGTCATTTGCCTACAGCGAGTTTATGCTGGAACATTTTTTCTGGTGTGTACTTACATCAATCAACTGCTGCTGCTCTTGCTCAGTCATCTCTGTCAGGCTGTAGTATTTTCCCGCCAGATCGTCCTTCAGACCAGAAAGAGCCTGGACCTCCACACGCTCCACCTCACGGCATTCAGCACGAGTGCAGGCGGGTGGCAGACTGAGCCCACGAATACTGCAGCCTGTGCGCACACGTGACGACAGCACATAGTTCTCATCAAACATCCCGGAGGTGATCTGTTCAAAGGCCATCGGTAGAAACATTCAGTGTTCAGTGTAACTAAACTGAGGCAGTTCTCACCTTGCATGAGTTCTTGATGGAATGAGTTTGTTTCAGGATCAGAACTAAAAACACCAGAGGAACCTTTACCTTTGAGCTGTCCAGATCTGTTGGGTGCTTCATGGTTGTAGGATGATAGCCGTTGTGCCTGTCCTTAATGACTGGGTTAAAGACTTCAGCAAACACCTGAGGATCACAACCATAGTCAATGATAAAGTTAACCTGCATGTACTGTACTATATCGACATGCTTAATTTTGATGCCACTACTTGATAAAGTTGACCATGGACAATTAAATAATTATCCACTATTATCCACAAGTCTCATTATATTATAAAATGAAGGGGAATTCCTTTGTCTGGTAAACTATGACTATGATATTGCCCAATAGTCCAAAACTAAACTTCTAAAAACTGTATTTTTCATTGTTCATTAAAAATACTAGCAATGAAATGATTTGTTACCAAAAACAACAACAACAACAAAAACATATCATTGTCACTAGTAGCCTCTGTGATAAAAAAGATATATCATAATTTTGTTTCTCATATTTTTATTTTGTTGGCTTAATATTTATATTTAAAATAATAGTGAATGGTTTTAAGACTGGATTTTAAGACTTAAACAAATCAAAAAGTAGAAAATGATGCACTGAAATTAGAAAACATAAACATACCAAACAACAAAATATTTTACACCATTTTAATTACTAACAGCTATTTTGGATCAAGAAAATCAACTCTTGTTTCAAACATTTTGGTATCAAAAGTCCAAAAATGGAGCCAAAAATATTTTTTGTTTTAGCTGAGTGGGCCTGGCCTTAATGGAAGCTCAAACTTGTGCTTGTGCTACAGATTTTAGCTATTTTATGGAAATGTTTGTGCAAATTCTTTGGTTTTATCCATTTTTATTGTATTTACTTATTTAACTCTTTAACTCATGTTAAAGACAAATTTTTTTTCTGTTTTTTGTTTTAATTCTCATGTTTTCAAGAGTTTATATATATATATATATATATATATATAAATGTTTATGTTCCAATTAGTAAGAGTAGGAAAAATGTGTATATAATGAAAGATGGCTGTCACTCATAGTAAGGGGAAACTAGTGGATGGATTAAGAGCAAGTGAACAGGGTTATTGTAACCCTGCTTAAGCGTAGTAAACTCCAGCCTTGTTGTTGTAGAGGGGAGTTAGTACTGCTTTTAGTTCCTTGCAGTTTTAGTTTTAGACTGTTTTTATTATTAACCTTTGTTTTTATACTCTTAAACATATTTACTTCACACATCTGCTCTAAATTAACACTGATTTGGACACTAAAGTCACTCCTGTGTTTACATCTCAATGTGATCGTACTTTTGACAGCTCAGGTCTCTATCACAGTGGGATATAAACAGTAAACATGGCGGAGAAACACGGCTGTAGTACTGTAAAGTTTTATTTGTTTTTACAACAACATCTACATTGTTTTCTCTTGCTGTTATAGGCATGTATATTTATGTATATAAATAACTATTAGGTGCATACTGTATGTATTGAACACAATGAAAATAGTATTTATTTGACTGAAATTTCATAATCGTCAGCAAGCTGGAATTTTTATATGGTTACCAAGGATGCTACATTTTATTCAAAACCTATTGGATA